CCCCCCCCCCCCCCCCCCACGATAGCCTTGGCTGAAAAAGCCCTACTCACTGGTTTACCCACCAAAGTGAAAGGAATATAACCCGGTAGATGAATCAATGACGGTTCATCTAGCGTGATTGGCTAAAATCTAATTTCAAACCAACCAAGAAGACGCATAGAAAAGATAATCATAGCTTCCTGGCTCTAGTATTGGTCACCACCTTGAATGATTAGCGATGAACCCCGGTTGTGAATTCCCCGATAAAATACACCTACTTTAGCGTGAGAAAGTTGACAACATATCACCAATGCACACTTATGAACCGATTTCTTTGGTAGAAACATTATTGGTTAGTGATTTTTTGGTGCATAGTTTTGTACTCAGAAGCGACTGAAATAGCAATAATGTCATATACAGAACATGTGCCTGAACTCCCTGAGCGTAGGCGAACTGAATCACGAAAACCAAATATCAGATAGTTCTGCACTGAATAACTCTGAGGACAAACAATACACACGTAACTCACAACACTGAACTGCATGAGGGTCGAACAACGACTTACCAATGAAACACAACACATACGATCCATCCAATGAGGCGACCAGTGAGTCCAATTCGTTAGGACACTCGTACAAGATGAGCACAGTTTTTGTGCACAGACGTTCGCGTAGAACGCTATCATAAACCTGAACGGAGTGATAGATAAATGAAAACACATTGGGTTGTGCAAAATAATTGTATCGTGCGAAGTGATGTAACCAAAAGCTGAATTAATTGCGAACAGTTCAGTTGAGTGAAAACTACAGTCAACAACACCGTCTAGAACGATGGGCTGAACATTTCGAGGGTCAGATCAACTGACATCCATCGACATTAGAGCTGACAAGCCTTACATCAACAGGACAACTACTGCCAATCAATGTCAGTACTCCATCCGAAATGGAGGTCTCCAAGGAAGGCATAACACTTCTGGCCCAGATGGGCTGTCCCCATCGGCCAGCCTTGGTCAGGTGTTAACAAAAGTTCTGAGAACAGTATGGAAGAGGAAATAAGTTCTAACGGAATGGCGTGGATCGGTCATCTTACCGATTTACAAGAAAGATGACAGGTCCACTTGGGAAAATCGAAATTGCCGCTACATTTCTCGTTGGCATCATACTCCATCGACCATCTGCGGCACGTGAATAGTCCATGCGTGAGAAATAGACTAGCCTTGGTCTTGGTCGACGTTGTATAGACCACATTTTCACTCTGCATCGAATTCCGGAGCATCGACATTCGTTTCAGAGACCCACCATTTCTATCTTCCTCAATATGAAAACGCCCTCGGACTCAGTCTACCGTTCAAAACTCTGGCACTATCTCGCTCTGAAGGATGTGTCCGGGAAATATATTTCAATTTTGCGATCTCTTCATGATAACAGCCGAAGCCGAGTCCGAACTTAGCCGAGGCTGACGAATAACGTCAGCCTAGTCGAACCGATGCATCCTATTATAGACGGATAAGTGGATGATGTTAACGCGTGCAGGTGAAGTGATCCCGATCGATTATAAACGGGCAAAGCACATAGACACGCGCATTCAAGACGCGGGAATAGGGTCTTGGAGCACATGGGGTCACCACGCACTCACTCACCTCATTCATCATGGAATTCACATGAAGCACAAAGCCTGGAACGGCCAAGATTTGCGAGGCAAATAAGAGCATGTATTTCTGAGCGAACTCAAAGTAGACGAGAGGTCTGAATGGGGGTGAAAGTGAGGAACGACAAGGGACCAGTATACAATGTGGTGTAAATTGAAAGGCTATAAAAATAAAGTGCGTACGAATGGAATAATAAGGGAGCGAAACACGTTAACCATAAGTACAATGTCTACCGCTGTTTTACCAAGAAAAAGAGACCGACAGAAATATGTTTGAGATCCGTGGTTAACCCAGGACCAAAAAGTGGTTCTCCAGCACAAAATATCACCTCCAAAAAATCTGTAACCACCATAGAACTTGTTTCCCATTAGAGAAATTCGAGTTTTGAAGTTGTATCGAGTATGCTTGTCTCGCATATTTCGTACCCCGAATGATAATAGTACCACAATTTCTACTCCAAGTTTCATTGTACTCAGCGACCAGCAACCTATGAATCTCCTAGGGCATAGGGGTCAACGTCAAAGTTTTATTATGAGAAATACGAACGAGCGGTTGATTTACTTGTCCCAGTGGGTATAATTGCTTTTCGATGACGAAACAGAGTCGATAGGCAACCGAGTGCGTGCACGCTCTGAAGTAGGAAGTACGTCCACGGCCATGAGGTGACCGTATGCGCTGAGCATTTTTGTCGTTTACCAGGTTTCCGGATCTGGCTTACTGGCGAGGCTTGTGAAATTAAGTCCGTCATTTTCGCTTCCATTGTAGCGATTTATTTATTCCGCGGCTGGCAATAGCTTCTCGTACTTGTGTGTGACACATGTGGTGCACTTTACAATCGGTATTGGTCATCAACTTTTTCTAGTTTTCACAAACGATCTAACGGACATGCTGGGGCCGCAAACGATAATGTTTGCAGACGATACAAAAACACGGAAGACGGTGACAAAACCTGAGGCCTATCCGGTACTTCAGATAACACTGAATGCAGCTTATCAATGGTCGTTCGAAAATGAGATCGAATTCAATGCATCGAAATGTACGGTTGTGTCCGTTCGCCACGAAATCCCGTTTCCGGACTCGCTGGGATAACAACAACTTACGTATGCCTTGAATGAGATGGATCTCAATGTGACCACCTGCATTGTTCTTTGAACTGCTTCAGAACGGCGGCCACCGATGCAGTAGCTGTTGATTTGCTAGAGCGAGTATTTGGCAAATCTGCACCTATTCCGTTTCCACGTATGCTGTTAGTCTAAGTTTGACCCCACATAGGGCATGCCGTCCAAACGTAGAATCCATGGCTGAGACGTGATCGTAAAATTCTGGAATGGTCACCAAGAGGATCAACGGATTATGTGGAATCATTGGGGTAGCACGCCCAACAGGGAACTCGCTTTTGGCGAATCCTTTAATGCAGAACCTTCAAAAGCCATATCGCTTACTGTTCGCCTTGTCACCCAACACTCAAATCAGGAGGCACACTTGTTCAAATTAGTGCTCCAAAACTATCGACTAGAATACCGGTATCATTCATTTGTCCTCAGATTGTACACTATTTAGAATTCTCCACCACCTCACGTTGTTTCTGCACCCGTAATTGATTTTTTTCGAGCACAAACTGGAAGAAACATGGTGATGTCTTAAATTTTGACATCCATAGCAGTGCGGAAAATAATGAAATTTTGTGGCATTGCTTATCCCTCTCTATGATCCGTA